AAACGCTATGCAGCTCCCCTCAAATTTGACTTTTCCTGCTTAATTTGCCTTTGCCCTGGTGCATTCAGGCCTCTCGCCAAAGCCATTTTATATCTGGCTCCACTGGCCTATTTAAGCATTTAACCCTATCCTCAGTTCTTTATTTTTCTTTATCTCATTTTCAGCCTTAGGGGATATTTGTGATGAATGCACTGCTTGGCCGCCCCTTCACTCTCTCCCTTCTCAGTTACCCTGTCCGCCTCAGCAACACCAGTGGTGGACACAGTCGCTTTTCGGCTGAAATGTTGAAAGCGACTGCTTATCTCTCTACTGGCCTCAACTGGGCTCGATGGCGAGAGCTGAGCGCACTGGATTCGTCAGCCACTAATGGTCGACATCACACTCCCACCTTTGACTCTCTTGTCTTGCCACGCTTTAGGTTCGTAAAATTAGGCCGTGGCGCCTCCTTTATATTCATATAGCATTTTGTCTTTTCATTAGTGCTGAATCAACTCTGACTCGAAATATCTGACTGTTATTCGGATTTTCCACGCCAATAAATTTTTTTACTGCTTTGAAACTACATAACTGCTGTTATACCATATCAATATGACCCTCTAAATTAGGTATTATGTTGGGGTTTATTTTAGTATTTATTTTGCAGATATTTTTCCTTATTCAATAAATTAATCTCTTCACAATCTCCTTGCTCTAGCACTTGAAAATTTATTTTCAATTATACCATCTGCTTAGCTTGATGCATTGCTTCATCTTCATTTCATTTATTTTAGTCTTTGATTTTACTCAGTTCACTTCCATTTTCTAACTTGAGGTCATAACTTGAACAGTTATTCTCTGTTCTCAATTTCTATTCCGATTAATTTTCATCTGAGTTCACTTATCACCATCCGATCATAGCTGTCGAATGTAGCACTATAACAAGAATGTTCTCAACTCAGTCAAATACCCATTTAAAGTGCATTTTGTATCAATTCAACGGATATTTCACAGGCATTTATCATTAAACCTGGAACTTTATATCTTTTATTTTTTGATAATCCCCAAATTTTATTCATTACTGGAGAGGCTTTTGAATGTGAATAGATAAGATAATAATTTTCTTCAAAAAAGTCAAGAAGCTCGGCAAAATAGAGTCAAAAGGCTATTCACCACAATGGCCGTTTGACAAAGCCTGAACCGAGGGTTGATAAATTTGATTTGGTGAGATTCGATTTAACCATCAAAACTTTATCTCTCGATTTGTCCTGAGGATGGGTTGCAGCTTCGATCTTTTATACATCCTAGCACCATCACTTGTTGATTAATATAAAGTTCCAATTGGGTGGGATCAGTCTTACATTTTATGCATATTTGAATAGGGTCATTCACTTAGAGACTGGACTTCTCGAGTTTATGTGCAGGACACCAAGGCAAGGGCTTAATTTTGAATCATGACATTATGTAAGCGAATTAA